GGAAGTATTCCCACACTCAAACATACTTGTTCAACTGTAGGACTAAACTACTATCAATTGTATTTCCTGATAGCATGCCTTAAATCAGTGATGGCAAACCTTTTAGAGACCGAGTGCCCAAACTGCAACCCAAAACCCACTTATGTATCGTCGGGTGCCGGGTGGGCATGGCCCATTGGGTGCGTGTGGCCCATTGGGTGGGCATGGCCCATTGGGTGGGCGTGGCTGCGGTAGTAATGGCAGACTGGGTGGGACTAAAAAGTTCAATCAATCAATTCCAACTTGTGCGAGATCTTTTTTTTTCCTGCGAGAAGTTGAAATTGATTGATTGAACCTTTTTTTTTTTGCACATGGCGGCGGAGGCCTAAAGCAAAAAACGTTTATAAAACCCAGCTGAAGGCCTAGGACTGGGGTGACGGCATGCGTGCCCACAAAGAGGGTTCTGAGTGCCACTTCTGGCACACATGCCATAGGTTCACCACCACTGCCTTAAATTGTTAGTACAATGATGACTGAGTTTTTTTCTGGTTCTCCAAGATAATGTTGTTGATAATGTTATTTATTTTATTTTTCTGCCCAGCAATGATATTCATAGCCAAGATTAATAAATTGCTATATAAGAACATGGCAAATAGACATACTGTGAATCTTTAAAGTCCCATTTTGTCACCAGAATAGGTACATTATTTCTTATTGCTTATTGACCAGCAACCTGTAGATAGAAAAGACCATTACCAGTAACCAATACTAGAAGACCATGGTTTGGAGCAGGCGCAAAAGTGAAAAACAAGCAGCTTTATCACTAATGATGTTTATGTTAGATGATCTTAATGACAGTCCTTATTACTATACAGAGGAGTTTCTGGAAGAATGGTTCTGAAGATACAAAGAATAAACATACAAAATATATGGATATTAAGCATGAGTATACATTTCTGAATAAAGTCTATGCACAGAATGCACAGAATATCTGCATGCCAGCTGTATAAATAGATAAACCATTTTCTTTCATGAAGTTCATATGATATTCTGTTCAAAATATTAAATTTGTCATGAAACTGTTTCTATCACCTATTAAAAGTGAGTTCTTCAGCTGATGCAGGACAATAAATCAACAAAACATAACCCTACAAGGATCATATTTCACAAATGCAATGTCCTGATTCTTTTGCCAATAGAACTGAATGTCTTGAGATTTTCAATTAAATTATATCATTCACTGCATAGTTCAAAAGCAGGGCCCCGACATAGTCCATTGTTTGCTTATAAGCAGAAGTACCTCACCTTAGGTCATGAACAACTGCATTATTCCTTAATCAGCATAAATTCATATATTTTGGAATCTTTGGTTGTAGTTTAACCTGATAGCAATCCATTTTCCGCATACAGGTACACTTTGGCTACTCAATCAATAGAATTTATTCTTAAGTAATGGTCTTTAGGGGATGACCATTCTTTGAAAGACACAATTTGCATTAGGAATCTCTGAATAAATAATGACAGAAAGATTAAGCCTTAATCAATGTACAACCTTAGCATCCCCCACTTTTTGTGCTGAAAAGATGAAATGTATAGGTATTGCTATAGGGACATTAAACTTGGCAAGAAAGGAGTAAGGGGAAGGACCATTGGCCTCAATTTTGGGTGGGGAAATTCTAGGAGACTATGCTCTTCTCTGATGGGAAGAAATCCATCTGGCCTAATCCATTCAACTGAAAGAACTGGAAGCCCTTTTTCCGTATCCCTTCATTAAGGAAGAGAGGGCAAGATATGGTTCCTTATTTGGATATGTCTTTTTGATGTTGTTTAAATAGTGCATCAATTTTCTAAAAGGTATTCCAGGCAACACATTCATTTTTACCATAGAAATTATTCTCAACAATGACAATTGTAATTTCCCCCATCTTAATCTATATAAATAAAAATGTAAATGTTTGTTTGTTCAAAATCTTAAATCTCCGAAAGTTCTTCACCGATTGCTTTGAAATTTTGACACAACGTTGCATTCGAATACGTGTGTGTTTTTATATACCTTATACCTACTATTGTACAGATGTCACACCTGTGACAGGTAAAAACATGTTTTGAAAAACAGCGCCATCTGTTGGACGTAAAAGCAACACACGCTAGCATTGTGAAATTAAACATATTACAAACATGCACTTTCTCTTTTCTTTCTTTTCCATTTAACCAGACTGAGCCACAGCAACGCGTGGCCGGGTACAGCTAGTGAGTTAAATATATGATTACAGGATGGACAAAGTGAGCCATAAGGCATCTTCTATTATTCCATAAAATTACATTCAGAAGTCCATATTTCAAAAGTAATATTGAACATTTAACTTCACCAAACTTCTAGTGTCAGTTGGATGTTAAGCAAAACTTCACAAAACAGAGGTAAGATTAAAAGAAGGATCCTGGATATGATGGAGGCCCCAAACTGCAGGTTGGAAAAGGCTTAAGGAGGACTAGAAAACACATTTTTATAAATGTAGGCTGGGACTGAACCCAACTGAAATAAGTAGAATTTATTTCTGAGTAAACATGTCAAAACAAAAAGCAAATAACTAAAGCAAAAATAACTCAGGTTGGTGCCAGGCTTGATACATCCAAAATCACATTGGTAACATCCAAGGATAAATGAAAAATGCAGCAAGTTTAAAAAGCCACTTATTTTTGTTATACAAAGGTATTTTTAATTTGTGGACACAAAAATATGGATATCCCTTACCTCATTGACTATTGAAGAACTTGCAGGAAGCAGCAGTTAGAACAGAGTTTAGACTGAGCAACTGTGGTTCAAACTGGGAAAGGACAGTGTGAAGATTATATTGTTTCACCTTATTTCTTGGCAAGATATACTGTGAGAAATAGAAACTGGAATTAAAATTGCAAGGAGAAAGATCAAAAACTTTAGATATCCTAAGGATATGTACGTAGTAGTGAAAAAATACTTAAGGAGTTTAAAGTGAAGATTAAAGTGAACTCAGAAGCTGAATTCCTGCTCAATAAAAATATAAAGATGTTAGCAATGCTAACAGCAGTGTTTGCAGAAAGGATCAATACAGCAAGATGGTGGTTGAAGCCCCACCTTTTTTTACTTCATTTAATGTCAACACACAAAAAGGCCAGGGTTCTGATTACAGCTGCCATCATGCCTATTTTGATCCCTCCTCTCCACTGAAGCTGATGGTACTGGTATTAATTCAGTGCAGATAGGTGGAGAAATTGCAGGAATACCAAACTTCATCTTACTAGGCTACAAAAATACCCAGAGAGGGTGACTATTGCCATGAAATAGATACCTTGGGAGACAAACTAGATGAAACATTTAAGTGCAGAAATGTGTTATGGACCAACAGGTGCTACCGCCAAGGCTGTGGCTGTTGTAAAATCTGGATCGTTAAAAAAGCCAAATCAGGAAAAAAATGCTTTTGAATTGTGCTGAGTAAATTTATTGGACTTCAAAAAGAACAAACAATTCAAAACTAGATGAAATAAAACCACTGGAAGCACTAATAGTGATGCTAAAGCTTAAATAGGTGACAGGTAATACAAAGTCATTGGAGAAAAACCTGACACTCAGAAAAATTAAAAACAGTTAAAAGGCCTGTCGGAAAACAAGGTAACTAGCTACATTCTTTCACTGAAGACGACAGCACAAGTTTGCAAAAAATGAGAGAAGCAGTTGCTGACAGACAATTCTTGTGAAATGATGTTCATCTGGTCTCATAGAGTTGGAAGTGCCTGAATGACTAAAGAGGTTGTCAGGAAGATCAGTTTCGGCAACGGAACTTGTACAATACTTTTATATCAGGAATGAATTATGACCAGGGTGATTGCACCAGGATTTTTCCCTAAGCCCTCCATAATCATTCCCTAGATTTTTTTTTTAAAGCAGCTACCTCTACAGTCCAGCCCTCTCGTTCACTAACAACATTAAGCAACGCTTGCGGTGTTTATTTGTAATTACAGTATTTATTCACTGGCCAGAAACTACTCAGGAGAAGGACCCAGAACATGGCTGGAGAGGCAGGAGCCAACTGCAAGTTAAAAAAAAAAAGGCTGGTAACTGATGGTCCTGAGAGGTAAGGAAAGGAAAGCAACATGGTTCGAGATCATCTCAGCTGTTAAAATAATGCAGCTCCCTTCTATCCCTCCCCGCCTTTTTGGCTTGCCACTGCAGCAAATCTCGGGGGAAGAGGACGTAGGGACAAGAATTGCCCGGGAAGGAAGCGGGCGGAACGCCGCATGCAGCTCCGAGGGCCGCGCCGCTCGTCCCCTTCCTTTGCCCAAGTTGCTGCATCACGACACCTGCTCGTTCCCTCCGCGCTATTCTCGCTCGCCCCTTAGCTCTAACGCCGCCCCCGCCCTGCTACGCCACGCCCCGTCCCGGTCCGGTCCTCTCAGGACCTGGAGGAAGCATCTGTTCCCTCGCCCCCCCCGCCCGCATGCGCGCTCTTTTAACTCTGCCCTCCCCCGGCTCATTCGCCTCCCGCCTCCCCCGTGACGGCAGGGGCTGCAGCTGCTGGGCAGGAAGAGTGTGGCCGGGTCTCGACGTCATCCTGTGCAGTGCGCGGGGCATTGAAAGGTGAATGGCAGAGAGGGCGAGAAGAGCGCGAGCGACTGTCAGCCCAGCCTGCAGCAGCAGCAGTAGCAGCAGCAGGAGGAAGAAGGCGACGCCGTGGTTTGCTTTTGCTCTTCCCAGGAGGGGCGCCCGCAGATAATGGAGCGGAGGCGGTAGGAAGGTATCGCGGTAGAGGCAGCAGCAGCAACGCCGGAACAAAAAGCGGAGTCACTGCGCCGTGTCTTCCCTTCGCCTCCAGCAATGTGAGGAAAGAAGTGCCGTGACCGCCGCTGCGTGACCGCTCGGCCGCCGGTTCCTTTCAGGGGAAGGGGGCAGTGCCGCCCCCCCCCGCTGCTCCTAACCATTCCGACGAGGCAGGCGACTCCCTTCATCACCGCCCGCCCTGCCCCCCCCTCCCGCAAAGCTATGAGCCATGAAGCCGCCTGGCAGAAGTTCTCTGCGGCAGCCCTTTTCTGGCAACTGCCGGCACCGCCGGTCCTCTAACGCTTCCTTCTCAGCCTGCCTGGCGCGGCTGCCTCTGCTCGGCTTCTTCCACCGTTTCCTTTTGGCGTTCCTGCTGCTCTGCTGGGGACGCCCAAAGAGCTGTGGGGTCATTGCGGACACCGGTGAGTGCGGGGTGAAAATGGGCTGGAATCTCCCCTTCTTCCTCCGCAATGTATGGTGTTTGGGAAGTCAGCCCTCTTCTCCTTCGCCCTGCTGTTGGCTGCCTTTTGAGTTACATGCCAATGCAGATAAATAGCAAAGCCCGTTATCTAGTTATTCTTTCTTCCCCGGTATCCCTTTGGACTCCTCATTTACCCTGTCATGCTAGTTTCTTCTGATCGTGACAGACCTCAAACAGCACCCCGTGTTTTGCTCCTCGTGGTGAGAAGCTTTGCTGATCATTCACTACCCGTTAAGTATGTGCATACAGCTTCTTCTACACAGATTCATTGACACGTTTCTATCCTGAGGATAGCATTTTGTTTGATCATCTGCAGCAAATCGTTAATTGTGACTGCAACTGAATTCTTCTTTCTTTTCCTTCATGCATTTGTGAAAAGGAGGAGAGAAAAAAAAACTTCCTATTCTCATATTGAAGATTCTTGATTGGTGTATATAGATATATGGTGCAAACTCAGGCTTATGATCGTGGGCAAGATGCTGATGCAGCAAAATATTTTTGGCAGGTTGTCAGAATTGTCATCTTTTGTGGATCTTATTTAAGAAGTATCTGAAGCAGAGTATGTGGGGTTTCTGTTTAGGGAAAGATATTTAGAATTGAGTTGAGAACTCATACATAATATACCAACAAAAAAAAAGGAACTCTGCTGTGAAGATAACTCTTAAGAATAAAGAAATATGTATTTTCTTCTGTATGATCTCTAGTATTTAAATATTTATTTTGAAAGAATCTAACTGAATTTCTTGAGATATTTTTGTTTAATAACTATGCTTAGAATTTGCATTCTTATGGTTTATGTAAAGGGAATTGATTAATATTCAATGGACACATTCCATTTTTGAGAAGTTTGCAGATTCACAGATTTTGATCAATATTTCTGAGGAAAACTGACAAGAGCCATGGTGTTTGGGATCTCATTAAAAGAGCTTCCCTTCTGAAAAATGATTTTTTTATATTTAGATTATTATGTAAAATACATTGTATTAAATACCTAATGTTTTCTGTAATTCTTTCTGCAATAGTTTGTAATACTTTCCTAAATACTAGGAAATATTTTAATAACGCATGTTGGAGTCATCGGAATGATATCCTCTTGAAGGAAAATTAACAGAATTTAAAGCAGCTTATATAAAATGTTCGGTTTCTCTGGTTTAATGTAGACCTGTCTGTCTCCCCTAGCTATCCATTGGAATGAAACTTTGGAAAAAACAGAAACCATACTGGCAAATGAGGACACTGCATTTCAACAGACTAACAATAGTAGTAGCAAAAATAACAATTACAGCAGTGCATTCCAAAAAGAAATCACATTGCCTTCAAGACTTGTTTATTATTTGAACAAAGACTCTGAAAGTCCCTACCATATTTTGGATACTAGGACAAGATACCAGCAAAAACACAGTAAGGTAAGAATTTCTAAAAAAGGAACATCCAGTACAATAGCTCAAAATAGTCCTGTCCCTTGAGGGATAGTCTTACTTTAGGAATGTCTATTCAGCAGATTGGTAATACCTCTGTAAAATTATTGCTGCATTGGCTTTAGGTGCCAGGAATGACTGTCAGTTGGTTGTAAAGCTTAGTATCAGTACTGTAGATAAAACAAAGGAATATAACCTGAATTTCTATTAGAGGTCTAGATTTCCCCCCCTTCATTTTAACCAACTTACTTGAATTGGAGAAAGAGGCATAGTAAAAACTAAATGTCTTTCACATGACAGGTATAGGAGACCTTGATGTGTTATGGATCCAAATTCTTTGTCTTTAGTAGATGTGTATATGTGTATGTATGTACACACGCATGCACACACACACACTAAAACTGCATTTTCCTGTAGCTAAACATAGTCACGGCTAAACCTTATTTAAAACAATGACACTTAAATAAGTTATGATTCACTTGTGTCATTGCTTCAATTGTATGTTTAAATGAGTAACCTTACCTGTGAGTTCACATATATATCAGAAAAGCAATATGGTTGAACTTATTATGAGAGCAATTTAGAAGGCTGCTTAGAATTTAGTCTATTGTGATTTCATGTTATGCATTAGAGAGTCTTGTTTTTACTGTTCTCTTCCCAAAGTAATAATTAGGCCAAATGTGATTTGTCTCTCTTGTTATGATATGAGATCATATATTGCAGTACTTTTATGGATGTTCCATTCCCTCTGTAAAGGTAGTATTTCAGTAGTCAAATAGCCATTTCTCAATGTTGTATTATCTAAATATGTTACATTGCTATTGGACACACTTATGGTTAGTTTGGGATTGAAGATCCAACCACTTCAATTCTTAATAGACAAAATTAAGAATGCACGTCTATTTTTTAATCCTTAATTTTTTAAGTAATACTATTAATGCACATTAAAAGGCAAGAACTTTTTAAATCATTAATAATTTGATGTGCTTTTCATTGAATCATGCTTGATAGCAACTCGTAACTTTTGGAATAATATGGCTTATTCCAAAATGGATCTATCCAAAGAAATGCATGACTTTGGCAAGATGGGCAGTTTCAGAAATTTGATTTTTTAATTTATTTTATTAATCAGTTTAGTAAGCAAAGTAATGAAGTCTGTGTGCACTTGACTCATTATTTTGAAGCTCAGGAGACCTTTGGCAGCTGTTTCTGATGAAACATTAGAAACTATTGTCAGATAAAGAAAACAGGGTATTCCCAGTGGTATATAGAGTATCTCAACAGGACCAACACTGAAGAACATGAAATTACTATCTATTGATCATATAAATATTAATAACAAATCTAGAGTGACAGTACGCTTGGCGGACATTCTCAAGAGTCTGTGCTGCTGTGATCTTTCCAGAGTACTTTTCTCTTCTTACTATTCAGTGAATGCAGCGAATGCAGTGAATGCAGCTCTAGAATGCAGCCTTTAGAAGTGACTTTTTAGGAAGCAATACAGGTAGTTCTTGACTTACAAAAATTCATTTAGTGACTGCACTTAAAAAAGTGACTTATGATCATTTTTCATAGTTACAACTTTTGCAGCATCTCTATGGTCATATGTTCAAAACTCAGATGCGTTGCAACTGATTCCTAATTATGATGGTTGCTGTGTCCCAGGGTCTTGTGATCATCTTTTATGACTTTCTGATAAACACAGTCAATGGGTAAGCCAGATTCAGTTAACAACCAGCTTACTAACTTAACAACTGCAGTGATTCACTTAACAACTGTGGCAAGAAAAGTCGTAAAATGGGACAAAACTCACTTAACAAATGTCTCACTTAACAAGAGAAATTTTGGGCTCAATTTTGGTTGTAAGTTGAGGACCACCTGTAAGTTGAGGACCACCCCTGATCAAGCAGGAGACAAGTGACTGTCTAGTCTCTTCTTAAAAACCTCGAATGATGAAGCAACCACAACTTCTGATGGCAAGCTGTTCCATTGTTGTCCTCACTGTTAGGAAGTTTCTCCTTAGTTCCAGGTTGCTTCTCTCCTAAAGGTGATGCAAGGGTGATTTGAACCAAGTGCTTGCACAACACAGTTGTGTGTTCCTTTGAACTATGGGGGTTTGGCACTAACTCATCACTTACTGCTTTTATATTTATGTTCATAGGTGTAAACATTATCCCAAATAAGAAAATACATGTATTTTGTTAGTTAAAAGGTCCACCTCTTATGAGAGATGATGATTTTGTACAAGATATATGAAGTGGGATAGATAATTAGTAAAATACTATAACTAAGTGTTTAGTTTTGTGTGAAAGTTATTCAGTTGAGATATAATTCATTGATTGAATTAAACAGATACTGTTTCTCATGTTCCTTGGTATATACTTGATAGATATATTAGTGTAATTGCAGCAGTTCCAACTCCTTATTCCAGTATGGTCTTTGCTGTTACTATCCTGAAAAAATAAGGATTATTGTGGGTAGCAGTATTCGTTTCCCAAGTTCTGTGTCCTTCCTCTACCCATCAAGGGAGGGAGGCAGCTGTTTCAAGTGCTTTTTTGTATTGCAGTAATTAATTACTGCACTGAGAATATAATTGTTACTAATTCTGCCTGCAGTAAGAATATAGTAGTCTCTAGCTTTGCCAATGCAGCTAAAACGTTTGAAGTAATTGTTACATCTTTTAATAGCAAGTATTCCAAATATTAATCCTTATATAGCCAAAAAAGCATTATCCATATAGAGCAGGGGTGTCAAACCGCACCCACCCTATTGCTGGCAATGGCAAAAAAGTTGCGATACGTCACAACACGTCACGTGACATTGTGAGTTTGACAGTCCTGATATTAATAAGTATTTGCACAAGTTTAAAGATTTTACATTAATGATTTAGGAGAAAAATGGGGCGAGGGAAAAGCAATTCAGCAAGAATTGCTCACAAGAGCCGGTATAAATATAAAGAAGGAAATAAATGGAATATCCAGGAAAGATTCCTGACTGGCTGAAAAGGAAGACATAATACTGCAATATTTTGCTGCATTTTCCATGTTTTAACTTCATAGTCCCGCTGAAATTGTTTTGGGAAAGTTAACTAGAATAATTTAGCTCACAGCATTGTTAATATTCATTATCTTGAGTTTTCTGGAGCATAGCTTCCAATGTGGCGACTGACAGAGTATATGGTTAATATAACTATTAAATTAATTATATGCCAAGACTTCTGTTTATGGAAAGAGGATAGTATGATTAACTAAACCCTAAGAGCTTTTAGTCAAGGTTGGACAACAGGCGTGGTCAGTGGAGCCCAAAGAATGATTCAGCAGAAAATGCTTGACAGAGTAAAGTGACTCTAAATATGTGTCAGATGAAAGTTTTCTGCTAATGCACTATTCTGGAGGAGAGTCACCTCTAGATGAGATGGAAGGAAGGAAAGAGTCCCTGCAAATGTTATTCCATTAGTCATTGCTGACTATAGGAGGAAGCACTCATCTTGCTCTTCCTAGGAATGATGGGCGGCATATAAATTTAATACATTTAACAAACAAACTTCAGTTGTCATCCCATTTATATGTAACAAAGGTCTCTTTGCAAGACATCTCTGCTCCGTCCAGTTCTTGGACGGAGCAGGGATACCCCTGAGACACAGGTATTTAGTACTGGATGTTTGCCCATATATAAATATACGTAGGCTGAAACTTTATTTCTCCTAACGTGGAGAAATAATTCATATCATTTAGTTCCTCCTTTTTTGAGTATCAATACTTAAATAAACTCTCACACTTTGAATCACATCTTTGTGGGCTTCTCTACTTAGCTGAATGACTGTTTTAATGAGTCATGATTTCAATCCTGAAAAGGAACCCACTCTCTGACCTAAATGAGGAGGAGCCAGTGGAAGTTGGAAAGGAGAGATCAGTGGAAGTTCTAGAATCACATTCCAACATCTAGCCTGAGGTGCAACATTGGCCAGATAGGAATGTGAATAGAACAATGATAGAGGTTTGAATTAAAGATTCCTGAAGAACAGAACTTTTTTCTGACTTTTGAGAGATCTGTCTTATATTTACTTGGTGGCTCACACTCCCTAATGGCTGCTTGTTATTGAGGGTCATAAGGAAACAAAGAGATAGAATAATGCTAGTTCTAATTCAGAGGTAAAACTCCTCAATGACTCTTCATTTTTCAGCATGGATGTGGAAAATTGTAGTTGTAATAGTTTTTCTTAAAATGGATCAGTTAGACTCCATACATCAGTGGTGGCGAACCTATGGCACGGGTGCCAGAGGCGGCACTCAGAGCCCTCTCTGTGGGCATGTGCATCGTTCGCCCTAGTCCTAGGCCTTCAGCTGGGTTTTATAAAACCTTTTCTCTTTAGCCTCTGCCGCCGTGTGAAAAAAAAAAGGTTCAGTCAATCAATTTCAACTTCTCATGGGAAAAAAAATCTTGCAAAGTTGGAATTGATTGATTGAACTTTTTAGTCCCACCCAGTCTGCCGTTACCACCGCAATCATGCCCAGCCAATGGGCCACACCCAGCCAATGGGCCACACCCACCTGGCACTCGACGATGCATAAGTGGGTTTTGGGTTGCAGTTTGGGCACTCGGTCTCTAAAAGGTTTGCCATCACTGCCATACATTGTTGGGCAAGTTGTCAGCTGAGGGTTGTCTGGAGATTTGTCCCAATGTGTCCAGTGGGTTCATCCCAATAGGTTTGCTTGCATGCTGAGTGAGATCTTGGGAACCTTAGTACTCTTTCCTTTTAGGAACCTTCTTGGCTACAATTCTGCTAATACCCGTATTACTTTAGCATCAAATATTATTTTAAAATAGAGGACAGATCTATGAAACTTTATCTGTATATAAGATGCTTGGGTATTCCTGGGTATTTCTCTTTTTTTGAACAAAGTGTATTCTGTATAGCCATTCAGAAACTGCATAACTACTGAACCATGGAATGTATTCATTTCTGCCTCCCTATTTTTTGGCTACTA